AAGTATCACTCCCAAGGTGGGTTTTGATCTGCTGCAGTCTCTTTCCAGTTAAATATTTATTATAATTAGTGGTTTATGCTATGTAAGGCACAGGAGTACATAAATAGGCTACTTACTGCTAGGTAACACTAAGTATGTTAGACATTGTAGTGAAGTTAGACTAACTTACACTAGATATTCTAATCACCACTAGTTATCCCCACCACTAATGGGTCAGGAATATAAACAGTTGCATCCTAGCCATGCAGCAAGGATTGTCAATATTGACTCCAGTTGTTTTTCTCATGAATCCCACAGAAATTAACAAGGGACTTGCTTAACAGACATATGACCATCCATCTTTCCCTTGAAAATCATTCTGTAGCAGTTAGACTCTGAAAGCTGGATTCTGCAAGATGCAAAATATCTTACCCTTATTCAGAAAAATTTTTTCAGTAAATATTTAAAGCTGAGCATATAACTGCACCTAGTAAGAGCCAATTTTGTGTTTACTTTCTTAAGCATCCATGAAGTCTTTTGGTGGGTTGTACAGGATATCTTAGTAGTTTATAGGAGTGAATAAGGAATCATGACTTGAGTAAAGTTGAAAGAGTAATAAATCAGGACCCTGTCAATTAAAATGTAGTCCAGGTCCTCTTCCATTCTTTTTTCACCTAGCAGAACATATCCTACTAGTTCCTTCTGTCTTCTCCACCACAGGTTTCCTAACAAAAAAAAAAAAAAAACATTCTTACCTATTTTGCTTTATTTAAAATACTCCAATAGCTGTTCTTCCACGTCTCCTGTCTATTCAATACAAGTGAAAACCGTAAAATGAAGTTGAGTAATTCTGGCACCCAAAGAAAGTGCAAGGAGACATTTTTGAACAGCCAGAGGACATAAAAGCACTGCTATATTATACTCTTTGTCATTCCAATTTTAACAATAACAATAAGTATATTAATCACCAGCACCACAGAAGTTTTGTGTGCAATTAGCATTTCAACACACTCTCCCATGGCTGGGGTGGAGCAGCTCGCCTCCTTTGTGAGCTGCTTTTAATTGTGGTGCAAGAATGGACAGCTCTATGATTGCATTTTGGAAACTGGTGGCAGTTCAGTTGTTAGAAGCAAGCTCAAGTTTCTTTGTTTGTTTGTTTATTTGTTCCTGTGCTTGTGCTTCTGCTGTTAACTCATGGAAATTGCTTAGGGACAGATTTAAATCAAAACAGACAGTTTCCATTTTTGCTCTGTAACTAGTAAGGTTTGTTTAAGAGGCACTGCTGCTGGAACATAAGGCACGTCTGGAATGTTTGTTTACTTGCTTTTCTGAGCATGTGCCCTTTTGTTAGGAGACAGGGATTTCCATGGCGCAAATCTTCAGTGCCAATGGCTGAATCTCTCTAAATAATTAAAATAATAGGGTATTGAGATGGGTTATTCTATATTTTTAAAATAAAATGGGTGCATACTATTTAATGGCATGGCTTCAAAAATTAACCTTGTGCCTTACTGATCTCCTCAAAACCTCCACAAATTACAAAAGCACACGGATGTAAATGGTTTCTAGGATTATGCCTCAGCAACTTGAAAATGTTTGTATTTCTTCTGTACTGGGTATATTTTGCTTACCCAAGCGGACAAGTCCTTTCTGGTTAATCCTACCCGGTTCTGTGATTTGCCCATCCCATGGGGATTTGGTGCATGGAGGTTATTTGTTCTATTAATCAGGAGGTTCCTAAATTCTAATCCTTGGTAAAGCACTGGATTGCCATCTGACCTTGGCAAGTCACTTGACCTCCTTTTGCCTCGATCAATCCAGCTGGAAAATTGGGTAAAAAGCAGAACTTTACTGGAATATAGATGCTGCATCTGAGATGATATTTCTTTTGCAAATAATAAAGCAACTAGCTTAGAACTAAAAAAGGAACTTCTCTAAAAGGCAACCTTTGGGACTTTATTAATCTTTGTTCCATTTTAATTTTGGCAGGAGGTTCATCAAAATGCCTTGTTTGACACAAGAATGTATGCTGGTGGTTGAATGGCTGATGCAAGGGGTTTTGTTTAACTTGAAAGACCACATAGCTTTCTTCATTTAGCAATTTACATTGGCTTCTTCTTGATGTAGGAGGAATGAGGTAATGAATGGACTAGACATGGATGTGATATCTGACTGAGACAGCAACATGCCACGGGCCAGATTTTCTGGCCTACTTCGCTCTACTTCATGGTTCCTAAAGGGGAGAAATAGAAAGAAGTAGCAGACAGTGCTTGTCTCCTGTTTAGGGAGGTAAAAAATGCTTTTATCCTGAAGTGTTTGCCCTGGGATCAAAAGGAAAGCGTATGTTCCTAAATTCTTCTACCACTCTACTGTTAGTTTTTCACTCTGAATGACTACCATTCAGTATACTAATTATGTAATTAGTGATATCTACACAAATACAACATATTTCACTGGAGACTAGAGGTTCAAATGCCCTTTTACAACTCCAAGAGAAACCTGACATTTTATATAGAAAACCAAATTTGGCTCAATACAAGAGCTTTTACTGGAAGCACAACAAACGGGCAGCAGAGACTAACATGATGGCATGACTGGCAGTGATGCCCCAAAAGAGGATACAGACAATAGATAAGTAGGAAGTCATGATGAATAGATCACCTGTGTATATTTAATAAATTCCAAGAAATTTACTAGTTTATTTTTGTGCATTATGACTATTACTATGTTCTTGTTTACTTTTGCAAAATCATTAAGCACTTTACACCTCTGTATGATTTCAGGGAGCTCAGCCTTACTATCAGCAATATTTTTTAATTCATTATACTTTTTTAAATTACTAAACAGGAGTTAAGCTTGCATGTAGGATGTTAAATTTTGGAGAAGAAGGGGGTTTGTATCATGAGAATAATTTAAATTTGAAACAGAAAACAGAACTCAAATAAGGGAAGATCACCTAAAATGAAATTAGAATGAAGTGGTAGCAGATTTTGAAAAGCAGAACTACCAAATTTCACAAAAGTAACTGAGCAGGAATTAATTCTCTTAGATAAAGGAGGAAAACAGAAACAATCAAATTTTCTTGTGCTTTTTGTTATTTTGTTTCCTTTTCTCCAGTTCTTCTATTAGTCTTTTATTCTTAGTGTCAAAGGCTCATATTTCTTTGTACTAATTCTCTTTGACAATAAGTTGGCAACTTCTTTGCAAAAATATGCTGGTGATGTTTTAGGTCGGCCTCACCCCTAGGGAGATAAGGGGCATGGGAGGAGTCTTAGTTTCTAGTCATGTAAAATATAGAGAGATATTTCTCCTTTGTTTCCATAAGCAAGAACTTCTATTTATTACACAGCACAGAGTACTCAAAAGACACTGTCACTGGGTTCAGATTACTTTTCCATGTAGCAGGTAACCTTTAACTGGTAAATGAGTGGTATGATATGAGTTTGAATGGCATCTCCTATATCATCTTCCCATAAAGCCCTACTGAATAAGTACCAAATAAAGAATATTTCTATCACCTGTCAGCCTATGCATAAAGGCATTAAAGTAGCTAAAAAATCTGCTAGGTATTTTAGAAAGAAGAGTTTCAAAGACATAGCTTTTCTGAAGAAAAAAAAACCTGAATTTTTCTAATGGAAAATTCCAAAACTATAACAATCACATCTCAAAACAAGAAAAAAATTGAAATTAATTAATTAAAAAGGTTTTACTGCTATAATTAATATTATCTTATTATACCAAATATTTCCACTTTTTATAATAATAGATTTCAGTATATCAGAGTGAAATGCTTCATTAAAAGCTTTCCCAAGAAAATGTGTAATTGAAAAAAAAAGAAAATGGTTCTTTGACAACGTCTGAGCTGCATCTGCTGTCTGGTTGAGCTATATTGCATCTAACACAGTGCTAGGCACCATACAAGAGTAAAGGCAGGAATGATTTCTGCTTTACTGAAGAATATGCATTCTAAAAAGAGAGAATTTAACAGATAAGAAGGGGAACAGATGAATCTTTGTTCCTTTCCCTGTCCCTTCTTATCCCTGCCCATACCAGTCTCCTCCGTTCAAGTCTGCACCTCCATCCAGCATTTCTCCCTGGCTTTGAATTCTAAGTCCACTTGTGAGTCACTCTCCAGTTTAAGCTTTGTCCAGGCCTTCCAGCTCTGGGTAACTGATGTGCAGAGAAGTGCTTTCATGTCACTGCAAGGTGCCTCAGTGAAGGCAATCTCACGTGCATGGGCTCTGTCAGTCTGGTACTGGATTAGTTGTACAGACAGACAGTCCAAACAGAAGCCAAGCCTTTTGACAGCATCCTCTTTTTGTTCTCTGTCTCTTGCCTCCTTGCTCTGGTGCGCTGCTGGTGGCTCTTACACTGTTAGCCAGAGTTTGTCTGATATGAGTTACTGGGAATACTTGCCCAGGGTCTTCTTGAGCCATATGTTTGCATGTGTTTAACAATATTTTCCTTCTTTCTGCTGACATGCATCATTTATTTTTATCATGTTCCTCTTCTTCACTGATGCTACTATATTAGGAAGGGGAGGGGAATGTGTAAGCATGAAGATGTGGATATGGATGATCATTCTTTCCACGTGTTATGTGATGTCTGGGAAATATCTTACATTTGTCAATGAAATCCCAAGTCTCAATTCTGCATTTTTCATTGATGCAGAATTATTGAGGGGTGTAGTTACATCACACTTCCTTGACTGTTATTTCCTTCAAAATTTGCTTTGAAGGTTTAGGTAGTTGCTACTGATAATGTGTTCTGGTAAACAACATGAAAAATGCAGGTTATTGTATTTTACATGCATAGTGTCTGAGTGAGACCTGATGGTGTTTGACCTTATCTGGGTTGGGCTTTGAGGAATTAACCAAGTGAATTCTAATATTCAGCTTGCCTATATTCCTGAAAATCTGCCTACATTCGCTGTGTGTCTAAACAGCCTTTGGACAAAATTCACCTTGTACTCAGGACCATTCTCAAAGGAAAAAAACAAAGCAAAACCAAACAGAACAAACTACTGTTTCCCAAAGGGAATAATTTTTATGCTTTCCTCTAGATACACACAGAAGACAGTAACATGTTAGCAATGCCATGCTATACAGAGAAATCTATATTTTCTCTAATTGATGGAAGAGTTACTTAATCTCCAGTTTTTTATCAGTAATAAACCATATTTGCATACATTTTTTTGCCTATCAGACAGAATTCTCTATAAATGGTCAGTAAATCACACTGGTTTCCTTTTTTTCTCTCCTTTTTTCTTTTTCTTGATCAAGCAAACCGTATACCAGTGCAGAGAAAATCTTACTGCTTGCTTAAGATGGAATTCTTCCTTGTGCCTCTCTTACTTAGAGGCATGTCTTAGAGAAATGATGGATTTTGGGACCTTGTCCTGTCTCCTTTCCTTTTCTGGCATATTTCTATTTAAAGTCTCACTGTCATAAAAGGGCCTGTGTTTAGTGGCTCTGGCTGTAGAAGTTTCATCTTCTGTAAAAAAGGTAATGGCTTCATATTAGAAACAATCAGATAATAGCTACTTCACCTTGGTTGTCTGTAAGGCTTAATTCTTAGGACCTCAAACAGTACTCAAAGTGGACTAGCCATGGGATCAAACCTTTATGCAAAGACCTCCCAAGATTCCCTGGAGGAAGATGTGAATAATGTTCAAAGGAAAAGACTCACTCTATGATTATTTTTATTAGGTGTTATTATTTTTATTAGGATTACTCTTAGTATTCACATCTTACCTTTCTTTAAAATCACCTCCATTGTACCAGAAAAGAGGTAGAAAGAATAGTGTCCTTTTCACCCAGTTCCCAGTTGTGTTTTGGGACAAGCTGTAGTAATTATAGAGGCAACATCATGTGAGTATTAGCATGATTAGGCTGCCATGTCTCAGCTATGGTGTCAGTACTTTGGAGTCTATATATTCCTGGCAGTTGCCCTGTGAAGGAAGTCGTTTGTGTGTTGATGGATACCATGTAAATTGCTCTGTCTGAAGCAGCTCTTGCACAATCAACCTTTTTGAGAGGAGAAAAAAATAGATTCCCTCTGTCTGTGTAATGCTGTCACTGAAACCACACCTAAATATCAGTAGGAGACTGAAAGTTTGGGGAATTGTTGGTTTTGGCTAACAATTACTATGCAGAATATAGCCAGATCCTGCGGTCAGTGACATGAGGATAAATCCAAAACTCAGCTGAAATGGCTTAAATACTCCAGATTTCCATCAAAGCAATGTAGTCAGTATGACCTAACTGTGCAAATGACCATCTAAGACAAAGAAAAGCACTCTAAAATTATTTGTGCAAATGCTTGTGAAATTCTGAGCAATATTTTCTGCTTTACATACTTTTCATTACTTTTTACAACAATTTAAAGAAAGCTACCACATTGTCAAAGCAAATTAACATTCTTTGAAAATCAATCGTCTTTTTTTTAGGTGTATACTGTATATCCTCAGACATTTCTTTTGCCAGTGATGGTTTGACACGTTTTTATCTCCTTGAACAACAAAGCCGTGTATAATTCCATGCAATTGTCTTTTAAGATATGAAGATGGAAAAAAAACATAATTTACAACACAAATATATTAGGTTTTTATATAAAAAGCATCACATGTATTGATCAAAATGACTTTCTTTACAATATTTGATGCTCAAAAGAGAACTAATTGTATTACATGTTATAAGTGCATATTATCCCATTCAAGCTGTGCCAAACAGGAAAATTGACAAGAAAGCACCTACATTAGAGTCACATACCTCCAAGTTGTAATCAGATAACAGTCTCTTTATACTGAAGAATTATTATTCTAAAGGACCTTTTCAGATGCCTTCTAATAGGAGTTAGGAATATCTTTATTAATCTTTATGTAGATTAGAAACATCTTCCACATATATCTTACATTTCTGTACCTCTTAGTTATATTTGTTGAGGATGCAAAGTCTTTCAACATAATGAAACTGCTACTCAAATAATTCAAAAACCTAAAGTAAGACAGTTAATCTAAAGCACATCCATACATACATATAAACATAGAGGATGAAAACAAAATTGTCATGTATGCACACACAGAGTATATATTCTATAATAATCTCTTCCTAATCAGTTGTGCACTTTATAAAACAATGTAAGAGAAATGACAATGCTGTCATTTGTATATTCTTCTTCAGTTCTCTAATGGAAAGCTTTTTTTTTTTCCTTGCCAACTCATTCCTGACAATGTTAATGATTCACTATAAAGCAGCTTCTGTGCTATGATTTGTGACATTCAGGCTGGTTAGATGGGAGGACTAGGCAGGTTTCTGGGGAGTGTTTTGGATGCAGAAATGCCTTGAAGATAGCACTTTATTATATTTAGGACAAGTATGACATCCCACTTCAAGGAATAGGCCCCTATACATATTGAGAAGGGATTTCTATGGTTTAAGTGGGGAGGAGAAGGTTAGTTTAAAAGAATGCCTCTGTGTTTTTTGAGACGACATAAAGATAGGAGGTAGAGAAATGGAGGCAGGAGGCAGAAGGATTATGGATAATGGAAGAATTTTGCCTGAGGGTATGTGCCTGCTTTGCCTATTCCTGTATAACTAGAATATTTATAATTCAAATACTTATCTTTAATAATTAAAAATGAAGGAATATTAAAGACAAAAGGTAGAGAATATTATGTACACATATGTAGGCATCATGCATTAAGTCCCTACACTTGCAAAATATAGCAAGAGGTAGATTTAAAGAAGGTTAAAAAAGTGAATATTTTAAAATGTCTCAAAAAAAGAATTTCTAATTCACTCCAGTTCTGCCAGAAATGATACCCCCTTACTTCTTATTTCTACACATAACTAGTCATGGAGAGAGCTACTAAAAATACACTGCACGGTGGCTTGACATCAGCACATCAACAATTAAAAAGTGGATACAAATATTTCAGGTTTTCACAACCTTAAAAGTTTTGCTCATGATTTATGAAAACATTGGATTTGCCAGGGCAATTGCATTTTGCTTTTACAGGACACTTAGTTACATAGCTTAAGTAAACTGCTAGTTGCAACAGAATGTAATATTCTACCACCTTCAGTAGCACCCTCTGATCTGCTTTCCACAGACAGCAAAGAAACAAAGAAAACCAGCCATTGCTGTGGATAGAGTGTTTGAAAGGAGAAAGAGACTTCAAATATGCCCTTAGGTATTATAAAGCTGTCAATTACAAGCAGTAAAACAATACAAAGTCTGCAACAAATAATTTATAAAGAGAAAATCATACAAACAATAACAGAAATTAATCCATTATCTTTGAATCATTTGAAAGATGCCATTTCAAATATTTTAAATTAACATAACTAAACAAAAAAGGTTGCGGTTAAATAAAAGGTTATATTTCAGAAACAGAAATCTTATACACCAAAATATCAGTAAATCAAAGATTCAAGTCATATTACTCACTAAGGGTAAAGTAGTTCAATTTTGAAGTAGCTTGGCTATATATGAAATTGAATTTCTGGATGATAGGTTAAACTAATGCTTGAAAATCAGAGGTGTTAATATTTACACCTTTGCTCATTACAGCAAGGAAAAGACTAATGAAGAATTAGACATCCAAATGTCTTTACTCTTCCATCAAACAGAATAATCTGTAGCTGAGCATTATTAGAACATGACAATATAAGAACTATTCTTTTATATACATATATGAAATAATGTTTTTAAATGGATGCTGAAACACCTGATGACAGGTTTAATATATTTATGCTGATACGAAATTAGAACTATTGAATAAGACTAATGAAATCATTATTTCAAATGGAGGAAGCATTCGTAATTTAAAAATATACTGGAAAAAGTAGTGAAATGCTAGTGTTGAAATATGAGTACATTCTGTATAATCTACTTCATCAAACCCTGCAGATTTAGATCAACCGTGTTATTTACTTGGGGCTTTTGATAGATGCCTGAAATATTACAGATCAAATAAACACATATGAAGATCACTGTTTTTAAAGTATAAATGTCCAAACAAGAATTTTAATTTAAATCTTGGTTGGTTGGTTGGTTGGTTTGTTTAGTTTGGTTTGATGTTTTTTTTCCTAGAAAATATCGGGAGTTTTCTCTTAGCACACAAACCACCACCTATCCCAGTCAATGTAGTGGTGTCATTGACTTCCATCAGTTTTAGGTTCGGCTCATTGGATAGAGAAACAAGACAAAAAATATTATAGAATTTTAGGACTTACAGTGTCAGTCTTAAAATTGTCTGGAAAAGGCATGTCTAAGTAACAAGGGAATACAATGCCACCAGCATTACCTTCTCAATGCCAAAGTGACAAAGGCGTTAGGTAGGACTGGGAGCTGCTACACAGCACACAGCACTGGTGAGGGCAGTGGTGACAATCAGTGCCGGGCGGGCCCAGGAGAGCGAGCCTGCCAGCCCGACAGCGGGAACCCCAACCTCTCCTGTCTCCATCCTGCATCCACTGCGGCAGAGGCTCAAGGCAAGCGCAGGTTGTCTTTGCCCACATCCTGTCAACACAGGTTGATGATGATGAGTAATAGATGGGAAAGATATGTGATGCTTAATTAATTACGTTTGACTGCTGTGTTCTTTTTTTTCTTTTTTTCTTCTTCTTTTTTTTTTTTTTGTTTAATTTATTTTTGTCATATGCTTTTTAAGTTTCTAGTAATTACAAACTTTTATTTTTGGAGAATGCTTTTGTGAAGAGGAGCTGTTGCAAGAAATTTTATAGTAGTTTATCCAAATGCTGATTCTACCTGTTTGTGAGCTTTTTATGGAGACAGTGGTGTCTTTTGACTTTTGTACTTTAAAATAAAACTTAATTTCTTCATTTATGCACATCTATTCATTTGAAAAGCTATTATTACAAAGGAAAGGAAAGGATTTTTTTGGAAAATTGATACACAACAATATAATATATAAGTAGATCAGAAATTAAAAGCTGTTAGACCTCGGTATACTCTTTGATCCAAACACAGCCCAGAACCCTTTCCTAAATTTGTATTTGTCTAGTGAATACTCTGATCAGCATTTCAGTATTCCATGACATCTACTTCTTCAGCACAGAGAGATACCTCTAGTTCTTCTTCCCAAGTACTTTTGCAATCATGACATCTTCTAAAGAAAGGTCACTGCTGAGCTTCACCCTTATGGCTGTTCTCTAACACACACCTACAAATACAAGAAAAAAAAGTGTTAATGAAATGGGGTTTGGTGTCTTGAAGTAAAAATAAGGTTAAGTCCAAACAAACCCATTCTTCCTGATATACAAATTTGTCTGGGCTAGCTTCTCCTTCTTCCTCTTTTTTTTTTTTCTTTTTTTTTTTCCCAAAATTATTGAATTAATGAATTAATGAGAGTAGAAGAATGAAAAACAGAAGAAAATAAGCCTGTATCAGCCTGCAAGCAGGAGGAATACAGGAGATGAAGTGGTGTATCCATGAATTAATTGAATATCTAACTTGTCAACTAGCTGATGACATGGACCTGTTTGGATGCTTGAAAAGCATCCTGTCTACAATCACAGAAAGGAGGAACTCAGCAAGTGCTGAACTAGACAGTGAGCATTTAGTATCACAAAAGTGATTTCATCAATGCCACATAGGATTGCAGTGGAGTGACAGAGCGGGGAAGATGAGCAGAAGACTGCAATATCTGTGGACTTCAGCAGAGACTCCACAGTTAATTTAGGAAGAATTATAAACTTCTGGCAAGCAGTTGGTAGCACTGGAACAAAAATTATTGCTCTCTCAAAATTCCGTATTCTTTAGGTGCTAAACCTGCTATCCTGTGAGTATTAAACACTGCAAAAATTGTCTTCTGAAATACGCAGTATTTGTCTGGATGAACCTTTTCCTATGCTTGATGGTCCCTTTGTAACACGAGGAGAAGATAACCTATTTTTAAAAATGAATAATATAGCCTCTGCCTGAAGCTGAACATGCTCAACTTTTAAACATCTTTCATAATTATAGCGTGGAAAATACCTTCCTTTTAAAATTAGGTGGTTACCAATGCAGCAAGTGTCTGTCTGTGTGAGTTCACTCAACTACATATTCTCAGATATCTTCCAAAAAATCCAGCCTTATGAGGACGTGAATAAGCCTGCACTGAGATAGGTGCAGTCTGTTCCTGGAATTCCTTTTCAGTATTATGGCATCTTTTTTTTCCATGTCATTCTGCTGGGTAAAGAACAGGGGATGATGTATTTTAAGCTCTTCATCATGGCATGGAAAAATTGTGGTCAGTTTTGAACAGAGACATCCCAGAATATGAAGGTAAGTTGCTGAACATTGGATTTGCATCCTCATTTTCAGAGCACAGTTGCTACAAGTGTTTGATCTATGCTCAGTAAAGCAGTTTGGTCCAGTAGCCTGTCAATGCCCCCAGCTGCTTTCCTGTGGCTTAGTAGCAGTAGTAAATATTCTCATGCTAAATCATCCTTGTATGGATATCACCTCCAGAAATTAATAAAAATCTTGGTATACTCCTCTGGTTATCCAACTTCATGTACAAGGGTAATCTTTGGTTTGGCAAAGAGGGTGGGGATCTGCTCTGTCTGTACTTGAGCAGTGCTCATGAGAGCTGGAAGCAGGGAGAAAATTACATGGATTTCAAGTTCATGAAAAGAGAAATGTATAGATATTAAGGAAATAGAAGGACCAGAATGCACGGATACAGGTAACTGCAAACGAAAGTTCGCTAATCACATATTTATAGACAAGTCCAGGTATTCCTAGCAAATTACATCCAAGCTTCAAAACAAAAGCAATTCCCCACACTTTCAGGAGAGTTGGTCTGCTCAGACTTAGTGCATATGACTGGCATGTATAAGGGTAGAGGGTATGGGAGTATGGATACCTACATATGTGTAGACAGATCCTCAGTTCATACACCAAATTTTATGCCAGAAACCACTGATGTCTAGAATAAAAATGAAGGAAATTGGCAGGACATCATGGATTCCAAGATATTTATAAACTTGGAAAGCTTTAACAATGTAAAGCTGTGTTAAGATGAAGCCAACTACTGAGAATGCTGGCAGCCTGGAAGCTAAGAAGCTCTGTATGTTCATCTATAGTTATGTTTGAGCATGTTTCAGCATATTTGTGCTGTTCTTGTAATATACTAAAACTTAAAGTATCTCTCTCAACCTGTCAGGAGCCAAGTCCATTGTTTCCTTTGGCTATTAAATTTCTGTTTTTCCTTTTCACTATCTCACACCCAAACTCTTAATTAGTGCTGTGTTTGTATAGAAATTTAAATTGCCTAAAAAATTATGTGTTGACCAACGGAACATAATAGTGCTTTCACAATATCTACAACACTTGTTCTGGATAAAGAGAAGAAAACCTCAAACTCTTAAATTAATGAAAATTCTTTAATGTCATTATCATAACATTTAAGCCAACTTCTAAAAATAACATGCTAAAAAACATCTCAGTAATTACAAAAGCCTGTCCAATAGGCAGCATACAGAAACACACACTCGGGATCTTCCATGTGGTGACAAAACAGCTGAAGTAGCTGGGAAGGCTTTAGGTTTACATCTGAAGTGATGTTGCCCACGGCTAGAACACAGTGTATAAGCTCAGACATGCAACTTTCATTCAAAACAGAATGTGTGTAAAGAATTAAGGCACCAAGAGACATAAAAAAAAAAAAAAAATTAAAATATTTAGTTGCCTAATTGCCAGTGCTAGTCTGAGTGATAAACAAAATTTGTTAGATACACTGATTTATAGAGAGCAATTATATATGATTAATACCACATCCAATGGAATGATTGGAATGATTCATATCACTGGAATGTTAAAATCACTGGCCATGAACTGTTAGGAAAGAGAGGGACACTACAGGAAAAGCAGTGGATGATGTATACAAAAGGTAGCATTATCTGGTCTTAAACTATTGACAAAGTAAAAAAAAATATTTGCCATGCTTATTGATCAACATAATAAATGATAAATCTTGAGATAGAGTAGTAGTGCAGAAGTTAACAGCAGGCTACCAGATTGAATTTAGGAAGAGGATGAACAGCTCTTTAAAAATCTATCTGAGATGGCTAGATAGAAAAACTGCACTGTGAGGATGCTAATCAGGAGTAATTGCAGGAAATTTTACCCGCTGAAAGCTCCTTGGAGTCTCTGAAAACTCCAGACAACCTTCTAATAGAAGTATTTAAAGAAATTCAATAAAATTCAAGAACTAACTTTGATCTTTATGGGTAAAGAGTGATTTACCAACAGTTATCAAGGTATTAGTGGACACAGTATAACTTTCTACTTACGTGCAAACAAGATACAGTTCCATTCTGTAGTCAAACAGCCAGAAGTATTTCAGGAGTGATATATCAGATTGTATCTTTCCTTCTATCTTGTCTTGTCTCTGAGTTAGGGGCTCCCAGCTCTTGCTGGTTTCAGAACTCAGTAGGAGCTAAGAACTAGGAAACTACCTTTCTCCAGATCTCATGGCTCATCATTTATGGTGCTGGACCAATCCTGCCCTGTGACACTCTAAATCTCTGCATTTATCATTCACACTGAGGGTGGCTGAACCCTGGGGCAGGAGACACACACGTATATATACGGTTAAAACCGTCTTTGAACAGATTTGAGAGGAATAGAGTGTTTAAAGATAGAAGCATATGATAACTGGGACCTTTTTAAAAATAATTTGTGGATGCTGAAAAGGAAGGGAGGAGGGAGGGCAGGAAGGAAGGCAGGAAGGAAGGCAGGAAGGAAGGCAGGAAGGAAGGCAGGAAGGAAGGCAGGAAGGAAGGCAGGAAGGCAGGAAGGCAGGAAGGCAGGAAGGCAGGAAGGAAGGAAGGAAGGAAGGAAGGAAGGAAGGAAGGAAGGAAGGAAGGAATTAGCTCAAGATAGAGCTATAGAGCTAATGGCCAAATATTGATCTTTCAGGACTTTGAAACCCATTTTTAGATTTCAGAAAATAAATTACATCCATAATTAAGGATCCTTATTATTATTTACAGGCTACTGACTTGTCAACAGCAAGACTTATTAGTAGAAGTAAAAATATCTTTTAAATTTAGAGAAAAAGGCAGCCTCAGTGCACAAGGAATTTAAAACCACTCTGAACAGATCACTAGAAACTATGCAACCAAGATGAGAATTGATGCAGCATTCTAACTCCAATAGTTCCATAACCTCATAATTCAGTGTTGATACAGGGTCATCAGTTGGGTTATAAGGCCATTTTTATCTAGCACAGGAACAAACCTTTTATTCTTCTCTTCATCCTATTTTCAGGCTCAGAAAAAAAGTATGCATTTTTGTAGTGCATGAAGAAGTAAGAGACAACTTTAACTAACATTTTATCCTGACTTTCTTTTAATAATGGTTATGGAAGTAGTGGTTGCTCTGTGCCAAATTACAGGCCACTGTTTGAATGAAATCTCTCTACCTAGGGATTCTTCCCACCTCTTCATATATTTGCATTTATCTTCCAAATCTATTTTAATGAGCTCTATATAAAAATGAGAGCTCATGCTTCTCGAGCCTGATGAACAGGTAATTACTGTTTTGATTCCCATGAGAGGTCTTTGAAAACCCATCTTGTCATGGAAGTTAAGGGCATAATGTTTTAATTGTAGGTAGGAGAATGGGGATAGTGCTTAAGCTGAATATTCTACCATGTAACCATAGTCCAAAATATCTTTTCACAAATGACCTACCAATTGTGATTCAGTTTTCACCTGTATGTTAAAGTGAGGCTAGATTTTTCTGCCATAGAGTCTTGATTATTCCCTTTCTCTGCTAAACTAAAAGCTGGTTTTAATATTTCTCTGTTTCATAAGTTTGGAATCAGATAGAAAATAGTATAGTCTATTGATGACAATTCAGGTCCATTCATTGTTGTCTTATGGCAGTTAAAAGGAACACCTACATTAATAAAGGTAGGAGAAAATGATCCTCTTCAACCTATTTTTTTGGTGTTGATGAACTGCATTCAGGTAAAAATTTCATTCCTTCGTGTTCAAACATGCCGTGGGATTCTTATATTGCTGGTTGTTGATCCAAAGATGATAGTTCCAAAAACTTTCCCCATACACCAGCTATTAGACAGCTAATGGGTGCACCCATGGGTAATGGGGGCAGAAAATTCTGCCTGTCCTGAGGCACAATGCTCCTGGGATCAGTGGTGCAATGGGAAAATTCTGTATACCAACAGTAACAGCAGTGGAGTGAAGTCAAAGATTTCTACAGCAAATAGAGCTTACCAGAGTTTTTTTTAATTCTATTTTCCACAATAAAAAATAAAAAGCTAAAAAGCATTTTCAAGTCAGTGTCAGGCAAGAACTGGGAAGAGAAACCTGGCCAATGCAGGGATTTGGAAGCCCAGCCTGGAAGGAGAGAAGCTTCCAGAAGAGACAGGCATGTGACTTGGCTCCTGGAAGAGTGGCTAGAAGTGGAGACTCCTTCAGTTAATTTTTTAGCTATCCATTCTGAAATTGATTAACACCCAGTTTTCTGAACTCACATTGTATCATCCTTAGTCTTTGGCAGATTAAAATAAGTAAAACTAATTTAAAATTCATGTCAAGTTCATGACACCTGCTTAAGCAACAAAATGAAAAAGATTATTCCATTTAACCCTTTATAAAGAATAAAAATAGTTGATCTTTATTTAATATTCTATTTCACTTCAAAGTGTGTCTATTTTTAATTTTTGAGGGAAATAACTTTTGTTTAAAGGGAAATGAAACAAAATGCTTTTCCTCCAATTAATAAGAACCTGTTGGTTGATCCAAAATGAATGTTTTTCAATGGGCATTTTAAAAAGGAAAGAAATAATGATTTAGGTTTAAGTTGATCCGGAAGGTATATTTTTTTCAATCTTTTTCTAGCATGAAGCTGAGAAAAGTAGTTTTACTTGCTCAGTTCTGCACAGAGGTACATATGGAGCCTGCAGAAGAGAGAGGTGCTCAGCATCCTTGAAAATCGGAACGTTAAAATACTGATTTTACCCTATTGATCTTAAAGAGAAAGGAAATTGTACAATAAATATATTTAGATATGATACCAAAATAGGAAGGACTGGAAATAGCAAACATCAGAGGAGCTTAGAAAGCATTAAAATGAATACAATTTAACATGGGAAATGTAAAATAATATACATGGAGAAAAATACTATCTGGCATAAAATCAAAGGAACATTCTATAGGAAGAACAGTAATGTGGAAAAGATTTGGGGTGAGAGATAACATATTGGACATAAGGTTTCAATTTAATGATGTTACACAAGTAGCAGACCTATTCATGAAAACAAAGAGATAAGAGTTAAGATTTTTGACTCGCTTATTGCTAATGGTTGATGAGGTATTCTACTTCTTATCATTAGCCAAATTCTGTGCTACTTGGAGAAGTCAATCTATTCAGAATAGCCTTCAAAAGTTTTTTGTGTTACATTACTTTTTTGTAAATAAATTTGTCTGCTATTATGTTCGGTATGCACAGCACGTGTCTCAGAGACACTCCAGGAAATGATGACAGAAACAAGTATTACAAGGTGTGATCTATTTTGTGAGAGGCTAAGGGTACTTCATGGTTAGAGCTTAAGGAAAAGAAGTTATGATAACAGTCTGTAAACATTTAAATGGCAATAGTCCAAAATGAAGGAAAGATGATTAACTGAGGTTGGAAATGGCATGTTAAGGAACAATAACTTGAAAGAGGAGAGAAATGTGTATATAAAAATTAAAAACAAAATGTAAGTTACAAGGACAATGAGATGAAGGGAAAATTTACCCTAGAGGTAGTTTGCGCACAATATCTACATGTGCTTTAAAGGAGATTTGATAAAACCTCAAAGGCTTTTACAAAGACAAGCTTTTCATGGAGGGCATTGGACTATTAGCCCCAAATTATCTTTCCCACTTGTTGCAGACTTTAAGTAGTTTGTGTTTTGCTGTGCTTCTTTTAAAATTTCTAAATGTCAGATTCCTTTCTGTATTCGCAAATCTTACAAGAAGATGGGTATGCTTTTGCTTTGTTAATATTTTTCCAATTCAAGATGGTAAGGCTTGACCTGGAAAAAATGGAAGGGCTGGCATGCACTGTTGGGTTTAGCTGGTTGGGCATTTCTGCTGGAATCTTCCAATACATCCTTGAACAAGCACAACAGGCAAGCGTCTGAAACCCCCAAGTCCAAGACCAACAGTTTCAGAAACTTGATGGTTTTGTTGGTAGGTGTTTCAATTAATGAATCCCTCTGCACCAAGAAAAATTTTCAAAGCTTCTCCAGATGCAAGAATGCAGCTCAGAACAAGCTAGTTTTCCTTTCACAGGTTCAAGGGGTTTTCTGCAACAGTACATTTTTTTCTTTTTTTCCAAATGAATTTGGAGTTTCTGGATAAAAATAATAAAAAACAGAAAAGGTAAGAAAAATATTTTAGGTTTCTTCCCCATCATATACCTGCTCAATCCAAGCCTTGCCTGCAGGGATTTTAAGATAGAAATCACATGGCTAACATTAAAATCTTGTTAAAGGATTAGGGGCCATGTCCTGAGCCAGGGTAAATTGAATACAGCTCCATTGACTTCAGCACAGCTTTACCTTTTCACAGCACTTGAAGATTTTACCATTAAAATGTCTTGGGCTGGTTTATTACAAGAATGGATAGGTATGCTCACATTTGATTTCTGGCTCCAAGTTTTCTTGACCTGTTATTGTTGTCCAATTCTTGGTAAAACTGAAATTAAAAATGACGTGCAGAGTCTAATACTTGAAAGGCCCTTGCAAGATAGAAAATGCAAGAAGGAAACATACCAAGAAAAGTTATGTTGCCTCATTTTTATACATTATGCCACATATTTTAATTGCGTGTGCATGCACTTGGTTTATAAAACTATTGCCCTATTTTGTGTATCGGCTGGAATGAGGATCCTGTTCTATATTTCTCTTTATCTTTTCCACTCCATGTGTGGCTCCCTGCCTAATTTATAATACTGCCATCCAAACCTTGCATAAAATACACAAATTATTCATGTCTTCATGAGTTTTCCATAGTGACTCATTAATTATTTTTATTGCATCTTATGCAAAAAATATTATAATTCCCTTTCCACAGATGAGAGAACTAAGAAGAAAGGAGCATGGCCAGTATTGGGCCACAAAGCAGATCAGTGGCACGCCTAGAGCTCCTGGCTCCCAGTTTGTTTTTATTTGTTCCAAAAGATGAGGGCTAGACATGTTCACATCTTCCAGTACATACACTGGTGTTTATGAAAGCTATTCCAGAAGTCAAGGCAAAAATACTGCAATGGGAGCATTCAATTAATGACAAACACAATGGTCACCTGTAAAAATATTCTCTTAATGCTACTTATAGAATTTCTGGGATAGCAACAAATCTAAACCTTTCACAGTCTACAGCTTAACCACTTGATTGTACTTCCTGTTTATAAATTCCCTCTTATTTTGTACAGCTTTTTTCTCTTTACGCAACACAATATGGGGCTTCCAGCAACAGGCCTCTCTTTAGCACGAGGAATGTTCAACAAGTGCCTGGGTTTGTCATGTCTGAAATCTGAAAATAATGTGAATTTGTTATTATTCATGAATGTGTGTTTTAATTGCTTCAAAATTAATTATTGAATTTCTGAGTCTCTGTGCCACCATCTTGCAAAAGTATGAAGTAATATGTTAACAAATTTGCTTATACACTGGACCTGAGGTGCTTCTATATAAGCAAGCTCCATCCTACTTCATTAATAATATACAACAATAATATGCAGTGTAAGAGGAGAGATTCATGACACATTATTTCACAGTCTATCAGACACACACATCTCAAAGAAATAGTTGGTCTGTTTTTTTTCCTGGAAACTCATGTAAGGACTGATGTGTCTAAAAACTTTGTCTTTATTTAAAATCTGTATTTATATAATCAAATTACAGTATACATAAATGTTATTTGTATGCCTTTTAATATGAATTTTTTTTTTGTTATGATAATAGAAAGTTATAAAGTCACAGAACATACCAGTCTTCTGATAAACTCCTTTAATATTGTTCATTTTAAGGTATTGGCACTTCTCCAAGTCAGAGATTGAAGAGTTCCCCCACAGGAGTATCCAGAGGATCTGTGTACTCATTTGATCAATCGTGTTGCATCCACAAGAATCCTATTTTGTCTTAACCTACTCCTCGGAACCTTTATAGGAAACTAAAAGAGACAGAGATATATTTAAATATAAATTTGCATCTTTTTGTCACCTGAGAATATGATCTCTCCTGTGTTAGAAGTATGAGAGAGTGGAACATCATGAGAAAGGCTGTGTTTACAGCCCCTTTCTCTGGAACTAGAACTGAAAATGTCACAAGATCTGAGAAGAAGCATGTGCTTTGAAAATTTTCAGTCCAAAGGTGCAGATTAAAGAGCTTCAGGACTTTTTCTAAAAAGCCTCTGGGTAAGCAGATGAACTTCAAATACGTACTTGTATACCATATCTTGCAAGGTTAATGCTGGAGGACTGGAAATCTTTGGTCACATTGATCTCACCAGTGCAAGAAAATGAATCTCAAGTACATAGGAGATTTATATGGTTATATATATATATTTATATGGTTATTGTTATATGGTAATGCAGTTTCTCCAAATGTTTTTCAGCAATGAACTTCACCAGATATTGGATTATCAAAATGGATATTAGGGAGATTTCTAGACAACTCTACTTAGGCAGGAATCTTTTCATCTGCCAATTCAGATTTTTTTTTTTTTTATCCTAAACCTTTTGAGACAGAAAATATGTTGTAACCCTCAGGTAGAGTAAAGGAGGCACAGCAGCCACTACAAAAGTAGAGACACTAGACAGATGGATGGACATATATACTATTACAAATACTTGCTAGCATAGCACTGCTAATCTAAAGGTCAGAAAGCAAAGAGTAATCCAGAACATCAACTTAGTTGTGGATACTCCTCCCCAGAGGACACGTTTATGAAGACTTTCTGAAATCAGGTTGGCAGCTTATGAAAGACGTGATCTTGCTCCCACATGTCTCATGCAAAACCACAGGAAATAATATTCATGTTCCTCACACCAGAAGTCGAGACACACATAATCAAGTTCCATATAGTCATTGCTATACAGCATAGTCAGGAGGCTTTGGCTTGTGTTCTGTGGTCAAACAATATGTATGAACAAGTCTACAGACTTTTTTTTTTAATCTGTAAAAATTATTTCTCATTGTCACCCTCATGGAGATGTTTTCGTGATTCACCCCTCAAATAGCTGCATTTCTGAGCACATTCTCCTTTCTCATGGCTAGCAATTGTACATTACAATCCTTCTGCATAGGTGCTTAATGTCAAAATGGGACTGTATTGTACTGCAACTGTACTGTATGACTGTTTCCCCTCTTATAATCTACTTTTTTTTGGACCATTTTAAACTTCCTGTACATTTTACACTAATATAAATGCACCAAAATGTAAAAGTAGAGACTGATCACAAGTAATTTTCTAGTGGGCAATTTACATTCTCACTTTTGCAACTGCTATATTTAGCAATTGTAAGAGAAAATAACAAAAGTGAAATTTCTGAACAAAAATGATTGAAGCCTGATTACAGCAAAAAGCTAGATTATTGTGTAGGGCCAATTTTTTAGAATATGTACCCCTTTCAAATTCTAAAAATGTATGTCTATTTTAGACATTTGTAAGGCATTTGGCAAGCACTGCTTAGAAGATGATATTAAAATTTAATTTTAAATATTTGAAAAGCTTAGTTTAGGTCAGAAATGGAAGCCTATCTGAAGAGCTCAGCCTCTGCTCAGTGGGACAAATCTCAAATCATGCAGACAACAGGAATTAATTTCTGGCAATTTACACTAATGTGAACTTAGATAAGACAGGTTATTGAAAAGTATTAATTATACGATGCTGACAAAGCCTAAGGTCCAGTTTAGTTGACTAAACCCTTTACATGACAATTTTGTACATTGCCTATCCAGAGAACATCAGTTCTAACAGGCAACACTAATACTTAAAAATCAGTGTTATTTTGGATGTTGCCTTAATCTCAGTTCTTAATCTCAGTATCCCCAAATCTAAAAGGCTTGATATACTTCCAAGAATAAAGGTGAAAGGTTCTACAGATTCAGATCATGTTTTTATTCTTCATATCAATCCTCTTCTTTGAATTATCCTTCTTTCTCAGGATTCTCTATGAACACTCTGAACATTTTGGGGGCTTCTGAAGAGAAAATGTAGAGAGGAATCTCTTGGAATGGGCAAAATGTGAGACGTAGTTTCCTCTGATTCATCCATATCTATTGTGGAAAACATGAATCCCAGGAGCTAGCCAGGGGCAAGGGAAGATTGAAAATGTATATGGATATAGTATTATTGCTAAAGGATGGAGTGAGGTGCCAAGAACCTGGAGCACAGGTGAGCACGTGATATATCTCCTGGTTTTGAACCCTGGAATCCAGCATGTCTGAGAAGTTTCTCCCATCTATTCTGCCAGAGAGCAAGAAAAGGGTAAGACTAACCCGCACAGGAACAGTTAAGGAACCTTTTCTACATGGAAATCCTGTGGGAAATATTGTCCTTTCACCTCTTCCGTAGGGTTTTTACTGCTAGAGGGGACAATCAGGCCCAGACACATTACATACAGATAATCCACTTAATCTCATTTCAACAATTATTGGTATCTCTCCTCCTGCACTTATTCCAAACAGACAAATGTATCTTCCTTTGACTGCTGTGTAAAAGGATGTCCCTTTTCACTGCAATAATGCCTAACCTTCAACCATCAGGTTTTCCTGATAAAATAAAAGTGAAGTATATCTGATCCAGGAGATTGCAAATAATATCTGTGTTAGATAAATAAATTTTTTAATGGCTGCTAGCTATTGATTTACTTTCTGACCTGATTTTTCTGGCTCAAAAATTAATTTCCATACTTGGTGGGGAATATTCATTTAAATCATAGGGTTTGTTCTACACTAGGGAAATTTATTCCAAATTTTTAGTGGTTTTAGAAGTAATTTGCCATTGTAACTTTTAAAGTGTTTGGAATTGTTGTTTAGGCTTCACTGTGTCAGTATCAGTTAAGAAGAGTCTGAATTTTTGGTGCTTCATCTAAACAAGAACTTGAACTGGCTTTTAAGCCAGAATTCAAGAGCACATATTAAGAAGTAATGACACTACTGGGAGCTTTGAGTGTCACTGAACCTCTGAGTTCACAGCTTTCCATATTGCTCCAAGTGTTCCTGGGAATTTTATCATATTTCAGTGGAAGAGGAGGTGTTTCTTAAAGATGCTGTTCTTAGGCCCTAAACTCATGCAATATTTGATAGGAACAACTTGCAAGCACTTTAACACACTGCAGGTATTTATGAATTTGTGTCCAATAGGCAGCTTCAAACTAAGTAATGCCATGCACAGGCTTTCAGACTTTCTAGGTAATGAAGTCAATATATTGACAGTAGTGTGGTTCTGCATTAGGTCTTCAAGTAAATTTCTGTTAAATTATAACATCTGTTAACATTCAAGCTTCAAATTTCAACCTGTAGTCATATTTCTTTTGGTGAATATTTTTATAATACATGAAGAGTAATATTATGGTACCATGGATGACTGCGATCAAACAGCTGTTGCTCTCAAAAAGTCTTCTATTGTAAACTCAGCAAATGTATGGTATTAACAGCTTTTCTATTAAGAAAAAAAAACCCAAAGGAAAAAGAAAGAAAAAGCCTTCTGCGCCTTCTGTATCATGAAAAGGACAGGTTTTCTCTAAATAACCTGAACACTCCTGGGTAACTGCATTTCAGTGGGCATAGGTGCAAGGTTTCTGTTAAATAATAGCTGTATTTCCTGGAGGGGAGGTCCTTTTAATAGCAAAAAAAAAAAAAAAAAAAAAAAAAAAAGTTTTTAGAGCAGGCATTGCAGGCATTTAGGCTCTGCTTTCCCCAGTAGATGTCACTTGCAGTACATAATATTTCATGTAAAGAAGTCAGAGTATATAGAAATGCATTGCTCTCCCTGAAATATGCAAGCTAAATTAAAAAGCCATTTTAGTGCCCTGTGTATGTAGTAAGTTTGGCATTTGGTTTGTTTTAACAGATGGCATTGAAATAACAAAAGGTAAAGCATTTTTTCCCAATTGATCAGTGTGGATTATGCCTCTTTCTCCTGTAATTTGAAATAACAGAAGGAGACAAATATACTTGTTGACACGTGTGAGGTCTGGGTCACACATGATCTAATATTGTATTGACAAGTAGTTTTTGGCAATTGCTAGACTTGCTCAAAAGAGAAAATGTATTATGTAATTATTTTTTTACTTCAGAAGCGTTAGCATTTTGGATTAAATTTAGGAGGGGAAACCTATAGAACACATACACCCCAAAAGCAGAGCTGTTTTCTGTATAAACAAAGGAGAAGTCGTTGAAATATTACATATTTAAGGAAAACTTTCTTCTGGTACAGTTGGTTAGAAATTTAAGCAATGTTCTAGGAACATTTTACCTGATTTCTAATAATTTTTAATCTATTTCTTTTATTATAACTATAGAGTAAAAACATCATTTTCAGTCAGATCACTATGGCCTTATTTACATGCAAACCCCACATTTTCAGGCCTCAGGAATACACTGTGATTCCTGCTGATGGTAAATTATCCACAAATATTCACATTATGTTAACTTACATAATTTTCCTCATTTCCAGCTGGTATGCCAGTCAAGACTACATTATAGAATTTAGGTTCTGGTTGCTCATTTGCTGGCTGATCTCTTGTTTGTAGCCATCCCTTCTTTGCTCACCTTAGTAGCTCTTCCTTTCAACAGACATGACTGCCATACTGCTGTATTCATTTCCATTCCACTCTCCATTGCATGGATGAGTTGGCCACTTTTGAACTTTAATCTTCTCCTGTTTTCTTCCTGGATTCTGATCAAAGACTCACAGAAAACCCCAACAAAGATTGACTTAGAGAGAGGAATCAAAACTAGTTATGCTAGTTCTATGCTAGACCTTCTCACCTTATTCCCATCTCATTTCCCTATTTCCCCCAGACAACCACACACAAAAACAATTTTGAGAGTTTTCAGAAAGAGTGCCAAGAAGGCAGAACCACAGAGATTTGGACATTTACACCTTTGTTCTCTCCCAGCTGAAAAAGTCAATGGTGGATAAACTGTGTCCTGCTGATGACAGGCTGTGAGAACCCTACCATGAGATAATAGTGGAGATCATTAAAGTTTTGTCCCTCACCCCCAAAGAAACCTAGTGTGCACTGTAAATGAAAGCAGTAAAAGCCTAGAAATACAACAGAAATACATTTTTTCCCCAAAATGCAGCTGAAAATGATTACTACATTGGAAATTGAAACTAGCTGCAGTAAATTTGGTCTTACTGAGAACTACCTGCTGTCTTGGTTTTTCTGCATAAGGTGAGGAAAGGAAATGAGAGGCAAATATAGACAGCCAAAGACAATGATGCAGAAAAACTATTAGAGAGCAAAGAGGAGTAAAAAAGAGGGGCAAAGAAGATTGTGAAGGGCCTTGAGGGGACGCCATATGAGGGGTGGCTGAGGTCAGTTGGTCTGTTCAGCCTGGGGGAGACCTCACTGCAGTTACAACTTCCTGGGGGGGGGGGGGGGGAAGAGGAGGGGCAGGCACTGGTCTCTGTGGTCATGAGTGAAAGCATCCAAAGGAATGGCAGGAAGCTGCATCAGGAAAGGTTTGGGTTGGATATTAAGAAAAGATTCTTCACCCAAGGGTGGTTGGGCACTGGAACAGGCTCCGGGAAGTGGTCACAGCACCAGCCTGACAGAGCTCAAGAAATGTTTGGACAACGCTCTCAGGTACATGGTGTGACTCTTGAGGATCCAGGAGTTGGACTCAATGATCCTGATGTGCCCTTTCCAACTCAGTTTATTCTCCGATTCTGAAAAAATTCAAGCTCTCAAAAGGAGTATTTATACTCTTGAACCTGGGAAGAGAGGTATAAAGTGTATAGAGGTAGATCACATACAGGGAACCAAGTCTCCCTTTACTTGATTTGATAATTCATAACAGAGATGTAGCATTGAAGTTGTCTAATATGAACTGCTCTGCATTACCTGCTTCAGGTCACATATCATACTAGGTCTGTAAATGTTTACATGCCGAGTCATAGGCCAGAAATCAGTATCAATATACTTAAAGAAGGGCTTATAAATTAAGACTAGAGGTAATTGGTAGGAAAGATAGAAAACCCCACAAAGAGCAAAGCAGAGAAAGAAATCTGGGAATGAATTAGAAGGTAAAATCCTGATAGAGACTCCTATTCTCTTGTGATAATTTAACTCACTTTTTTCCATTTTCTTCAGGAAAAAGGGATTTGCCAGAAAATAAAAATAACCCAACCCTTTGAATTTCACCTGACACAGGCTGTTGGTATTCGGCTGAAGTAAAGAATGATCTGTAACACCACTGACCTATTTTCATAAGTAATGCAATATCTAGTTAAAGCTGACTCTATCCAGGACAGCCACGTTTTTTTAAGCAGCATTCACATTACACAGTGATGTGCACAGTGTAAGTCTGGAGAGGTTGAAAGAATTTCGGTATTTATTTCCTTTGCTTATAGGCACACACAAGTTGGTTTTGACAAGAATTTTATTGTAAAGAGATGATAATTTCTTATTTAAATGAAGTTGTGCTTTACTAAAAATGCATAAGGTTATAAACAGGCAAACAAATCTTGTAGTATGTAATGTAAAAATAGAGCTTTGAACAGGGATTACAAAGTTAGTGTATTGGACATATACTGGTACCTCACGTCAGAGGATTTCATTTTCTCTTATTAATTTCATGTCACAGAACCACAAAGAAATTTATTGTGAGTTTCCTTTTGTACGCATGGAGAGATGTATATAATTCACCTCTGATAAACCTAGCCAGTCACAGTGACAGAGCCAGAAGAAAATCTAAGACTTGATTTCAAGATCTGTGCTAAGGCAGAGAGGTAACTTTCCCTTTCTCTTTCACTTTCGCTAAGGGGAGATTAATTTGTCTCTGCACAGATTGGGAAAGTTGAAGGGAATGTTCCTGAAAAAGCAATTGAGTGTTTTACATTCCAGAGTTACTCTTTCTAACTTATCTATTGTTTATTCATGCTGAGATAAACACAGATTTAAAGAAGGTATTGCAGAAAGCTCTCTGAATTCAAGCATGGCACATAGAGGTATCTTTTGATATTGTGATGGCATGAGCGATACGTTATCTTCTGACAAGCTCATGTAGGGGTTTGGGCAGCACATAAGGTTATCCTTTCCTAAGTTATTCGACATCTGTTTTTTTCCTTTTACTGTGTTTTGACAAGAGTTAATTGCCAGCTTCATTCAAGTGAGTGGATGGTTTTGAAGGCAGCACTGTAAGAAGTCATGTGCTGCTTCTTATAGAATCAGAGTATCCTATGCCACTTCCAAATGGATATACCTTCTTGATTTTGCTATCAGTATTGGTAAATGTATATATTTAGCTTCAGCTGACCCAGTGGAGCTTCATCTGTCATGCCAGAGAGTAAGGCTGGCACATGGGATGTAAAAGTCATTGAAGCAAGGGAATTAGTTACTATTTTACAGTGAGTATTAAGCCATCAAAATATAAACCCTTAGGAAAAAAAACACCCTCGAGTAACTTTAAATGGGCAGATTAGTTCTGGAAGTTTTGCCTTTTGGTTCTGTATTCTTACCAACTTTTTAAACCATTCTATTTCAAATATCAAACTCACAAATAGACAGGACCCAAATACTTTATTGATGCTTACAGCCAGAAAAATTAAGAAGCTCTGAGTTAAATGGTCAGGCTGGCCATCCTTGAAGCAATCATTCTTTTAAATCCCTGTGCTCCAGCAATTTGCTCTGAGACTTGCAGCTTATCTGATTCCCACTTTTGAGAACTAAATTCTCTGAAAGAAGTAGATAATCTCCATTGACTATGATTTTATGACAGGATTTTCATTAGCAGGTGATCCTTCTACTGAAGCCAAATGAAGTGAGTAATTATTCTCTTTTGCAGTATTGTTGACAACTGAATTTTTGTCATACTAAGCAGCACAACACAGGAGATTGGATACTCAATGGAAACTATAATTCTCCTGGGGGAAAAAATTAAGAAATGATATCTGGTCACTTTATACACACCAGGCCTCCAAGTAAATGCTGAATTGCAAAAAACATAACATATTCAAAAAGAGTATTTATGTGTCCCTTTCTCACTGCATGTGCAGTATTTTTCTCCTATGTCACAAAAACTGTAACCACAATTTACAAGTATATGCACAATCAAATTGCTATTGATTTAGCAATGCCTTTCTTTGATGTCCCTTGCCTTAACCTCATTTATAAAGCTGTTTTGCATTATTTCAAACTGTCAATGATTTGTGACTCATGCATATTCAAATCTAATTTGCACTTACCTTTTTTGCATGCATGCTTACTTGTAATTTGTCTCATTTGCCCTTTGTTTTGTGTTTATTTTCAGGTTATTTAGTGAAGTAAACTCTGTCTTTAAAGTAATAGCATCAAGTTAAACACAAGTTGTATAATTCTCACCTTACTAGAATCTTCGATCACTGCAACTCCATTAACTTCCCTAGAGTTTCTCCAGCTTAAGTGAAGAGAAAGGGGTCCATGAGTTATTTTTGACTGTTTTTTCTTTGTCTGTGTGTTCATATCAACACAATTTAGAATGTTTCATTGGAATTGCAATGACATTATTTAGTATTTTATTCAGAAAGGAAAACCAAGATTAACTGTCTCATCCTAGTATTTCAGATTCTAGGACAATTTGGATCTACAAATCCAGGTGAAAATTAAGCTGTTCCTCTGACTTAAAACACTTTTTTATCTGAGGAAAAAAAAATTCATTTTACTTATTTTTTGTAGTAAATCCAGTAGAATAAATTCCCAGCTTAAGAATACAGTACAATAATATACCCCTTCCCAGGAAAAACTCCACCTAACAAGTATACTGATTGCAGCACAGTGGGAACAAAATCCCATTCTTTTCATGCTTGTTAATCTAAAAAAAGTCTGTTAAACTGTTAGGTGCCTGAGGAAGGCTGGTCAAGATATTTGTATGTTTTTTTCCCATTTATGGAGGATTGTGTCATGAGAGCAGTGACGCTCTCAAATTCTAAGAATCTTGCTAGATTTTCTTCAATGAATTGAGTCTGGAAAAAAAAAAAACAAAAAAAAAAAAAAATTTTCTTTTGAATCAAAAGATATGATCTTAATTGAGTATCAAAAACCATTTGCCAGGGAAAGTGATCTGAAGTTTAACCAAGAGCAGGGGGAAGAAACTCAATAGATGATTTTCCATAATGTTTAAAAGCTGAAATCAACCTCCAGTGTCAAAACTGGTTGCTCCTGGGTTCATGCTGCGACCCTAGCTGCAAAGCAGCTGAAGGGGGTTCAGCTGGCTCTTGTTTTGGTCATGTTTGTGACCATACATGTGAACATTAAAGCAAGAAGGATTTTCTCTGAAAAAATATTAGATGAATGCATTTCCTTTATGGACCAAATCCTGCTCCTAATGGAAAGTAAGCAGGATCAGGCTGTCAATTAATACCTGCACAAAACTAAAGTATGCAAACACAGACAGGAATATTTCTCAGGCATTTTTATTATTCATTTAGTCTCCTAAATAATTTCAAACAACCTTTTGGGAAATAGAGCAAGTGTGATAGGTGATCAGTAACGTAACATAACAAGAGTAATGAAATTAAAAGCCCAGATGAACATATTGTGAATGAATGAAAACTCTTTGCCTAAGCTTTACTTGGTCAATGTTTTGAAGTAAAATGAAGCAAAATTCCTTCATATGAAGTGGGATTCTCAACTGGGAATAAGAGATCTGAGCCCAGAAAATATAGCTGCATTCATCCAAGGGCTCATTTCAAATGAATAGTTTCATCATCTCTTCCATAAAAGAGAAAAATATTTTAAATGTTTATTTTTAGCTTAGCACATGAATAATACAAATAAAAGGATTTGAGTATTTAATGTGAAGCAATTCTTAAATAAACTCAACATATGGGTTAATAATTACATATCAGTAGAGTTTCGTTTTTTTCTAATACCAGTACCATGCTTTTAAATGACAAGTCTCAGCTGTTGTGAAGTCCAAGGTAGCTGTGTGCCCTGAAACACTGAAGAAATAGTATTATCCAGTATGACACATGCCTAGATATGTCTTATTGTGATCATAATATAGCCTAAAGGTAAGAATACAGAACAATCACTTGTGTGTTATTTTCTCAATGCTGTTTATGTTTGTCTACATCAAAGAAAAGCCTCTGCTGGAGCTATTTATATCATTGATCAATAGAACTAATAGTGATGGTTTATAAATGCATGAGACAAGTTTTAAATTTAGGAAGTACTTTAAAAATGAAATCTATTAGTATATTAACTTGATCATGTTTCATCACTGAAAAGCCAGTTCATCTTGAAAAATGCTTTCGAAAAAGCAGAATGTACTACCATGACATGAAAGATACTTAAAGTGTCAAACAAAACCCCGACTGTGAATCACCAAAGTATGAATTAGAGAACTGATGTTTTCTTGTACTGAGGGTTTACTAGAAGGGAGGAACTGGACTGTCAAATTTACTATCATTATGACTTAGCAAGTTGAATACTTCACACCTGAAGATTTGGCATCCTGCAAAACTTCTTTGCAGAATCCTGCTTTGTGTCCTCCATCCATGTTCTCCTTCAGTCAGTGGGACTTTGGGACAGGTTTAGACTTGATACTGAAGACTGTCAGCATGGAAAACATTGTTGACAGAGATTCTCAGCACTGAGGTGTTTTTCTACGAACTTGTGGTCCCCTTAATAGGTGAGGTGTATGGAATGATTGGCAGCCCTTCTGGTCAGTGAGAATTAAAACTGGTGACATGCGTGTCTAGTCTTTTAGAGCTATTTGCTGTATAGACACAGTGTAGGACAATTTCCTTTCTAATGTAGGAACATTAAAGTCAGTGGTGATTCAGCATAGATGAGTTTTGCTTTTTGCGTTCTCGGCTAAGAGTGGTAGGAAAATCATGGTCAGTAGAAGTATGTAAATGCAGTAGGATAGATGTACATTTTAGACACAGGGCCTATTATCTGGAATTCAGACCAGTCTCTGCCCTTTAACACCATTACCGAGAAGAATATCCCATCTAATTCACCATAAATAAAAATTCCTAGATACTTTTATTCTAACATGGAAAACATGATGATGTCTGAGAACTTGTTAAGTCTAGAGGTTGTTCCTCTGCTTCCTCTTTATTCTCCTGTGGGGACCATTTTCTTCCGTGAGAATGGGATCTTCTCTGCAGTATTACTGTGAATCATCCTGCTCAGACTGACAAGACTCAAATGGAAGAATAAAATTTTCAAAATTATGAGCAATAGAGGGAAAAAAATAAAATTAGAACAATCATGGAGGATTCAGCTTCATAAAATTGTATATATTAACGACTCTATGTTCCCTAACTTACCTTATACCTGAGTTTCATTGCCTTCCATTAGTGAGGTAATTAATTTATCAGGAGAGATGAAAGGAGCTAGAGATGACAGCAGACATGGGTGAGAAAGAAGTCAAATATAGGTCTGCAATGGTGGGCAGTGGAAAAGTGTTTTCGACATGCATTTTGTAAATGTTAAGAGAGGGTAAGGGACTGAATACAGAGGAGTGTGAGATGTGACCTTTTCTACTGTTTCATCCAGGGTTGTGTCCTGGTTATTTATAAAAAGAAGGGCAGAGTCCTGCAATGCAAGGCAACATGTCTAATCTTGTGTATCTTTGACCACATACAACAAAGGGTTAATAAAAAACCCCCTAAATTAAAATTCTTCCTGCTTGGGTGGAATATATACATATACCTAATGCTTTTTAAGAGAAATGTTGTACCCAAGAACTGTTTTGTGAGCTGGGAGTGTTGTACTGAACCTCTGGGGCAAATGTTTGCATTGAATTGTTGATAGAGACTGAGATTGGCAACGCCACCCTGCCCTTGGCTAATGAGCCTTCCCCGAGAGAATATCAAGTGCAATTACCTTTCAGGGAATAACAACATACCAAAGAACCATGGACCCTGCAGAGAAAAACGAAACACACATTCGTAGGTAGAACCTGCTATGAATCAGCATTAATTATCCAATAGAGGGAACGGGGTTGCAGTAAGTCTCAGTTCCCAACTCACACCATAGATCACAGCAAACGTGATCTACTTATAGAAAAAACATTTGCAAAGTTCAGCTTGCCCTAACCCCCCTCCTTTCCGCATACATTTTTGCACTCGAGTTGTGCTTGGGGGTTGCACTTCTGGGACAACTTTCCCGACCCACCGTTTGGAGGTGACTGAGAAGCAATAAAAGAGGGCTGGTGGCAGTGAGTGAGGCTGCCGAACGTCAGCAGTACAGCGAGGCTGAGGCGAGGACTCATTCGAGGTTTCACAGGTGCCGACATGGTCGAGGACACCTGGCTCCTCTCAGCAGTGGTCAGGGAGGTCGGGCTACCGGGCGGCCGCCTGCCCTTGGCTGCAGAGCCGGGGAAATCTTCCTCCCGCGGCTGGTTGTCCCAGCAAAGACGAAAAAGGGGAAACTGTCCCGGGAGACGGGCTTTTTGCTGTGCGCATTCCTAAGAAGGAGACCGAGGGAGAAGGCGGGAAGGTCGCCTGTTTCGGGCTGAGCTAGTAGGAAAACGCGCGGAACTGCCAGCGCTAGAGGCGCGGGGGGATGCTGGCCGGCGCCTTTGTGCCAGGGCGACTCTTCCCGGGCGGCGCGGCCCGGCGGCGCGCACGGGCGGGAGCAGCGGCCCCGCGCAGCGCCCGCGCGGCTCCCCGGGGAGCCGGGAAACCCCGCCGCGAACTCTTCGGACGTGAAAACGGCGCGGAGCGGGGCCGGCTGCTTTGCTGAAAACAGGCACACGTATATTGAGTTTGTCAGGGATCATAAAATGCGAATTGATTATTCAAACAGCCATTGATTATAAAGGAATGCTTACTGCAGCAATGGGAGAGGTTAAAAGGAAATTGACCCTCTGCGTACGTGACATAAAGTCATTAGGTAAATGAGATATTCATACGGGGCGTAATCAAGGTCATGCTAATTTTATTTGCGGTATTCGACTCAAATCTCGAGCTTCGTTTGGGGACAGCAAATTGTCCCCAAGGGAAATGAACAGCCAGGTAGACCACAGGTGCCGTAAAAAAAAAAAAAAATCCCCAGAAACCCAGGTAAATAAAAGCCGAGTAGGGAAGTAAATTGCCCGCAAGCCCCTTGTCCGTGGTGGGCACGAACCCCAGGCCCAGCCCCAGCCCTGGCGCGGCCGCGGGGAGCTGAGCTCGGGGCCGGCGCCTGAGGAGCTGCGCGCAGGATCGGGGCTCCCCGCAGGGGGCTTCTCACCTCGCTGCTCCCCGGTCCCCTCCGACCAGGGAAAGCTAGGAGTGCGAGCAATGTCAAAGATCCTCGCCTCTCACAGACGGGATGAGAACGTGTAAAAAAATTAGATTTATTTATGCACATATTTATCCCCTCTAATTATAGAAATTAATCCTCTTACTTATGACTAAAAGGTAACGTCTAAGGCGTCCCTTTGATGTTTAACAGCATCATTTGTGGCTAACATTCCAACTGATTAAGGAATAATTGTTGTTAAATGCTTTACAAGTGGATAGTGTTTAATTGAGAGGCATTCATAATTTTACGGCTTACCACAAAATGAAACGTAATTAAAAACGCAGAAACTTCCAACTGATTTTGTTCCAATTATGTTTATTGTTCAGACTAATTACTGCACAAGACGGGGTACTTTTCCCCATGTCTAAATGGCACACGCTTCCCAAGTATACCCTTGCAGGTTTTTCTTTTCCAGGTACAGGCTTGGGACGGCTTTCTGCAGCCTCCGCTCTCCCCACACCCCCCTCCCCATTATAATTAAATGCTCCAGCCTTTTCTTCTCTCCCCCATGCAACACCTTGTGATGTGAGAAAGTGATGGCAGCTTTCTTCCCTCGGAGCTCGAAGTAATTGTAGAAGGGCTGATGAATTTCTTGAAGAAACACTTGCCACACACTGAGGAAACCATCTCCTAGCAGGATTTTACAAACCAAAGTAAACAAAGCACCCCAGGGGCGATTTCCTCCTTTTGCGCAGCGTACTTCTCAATTTACCTCAGAAGGGATCACAATCACACACAAGAGTTACAACAGAAATCATACTTGGTTTGGGAAACATATTCTGTACAAGAAGCAGAGAAATTGAAAGTGTTCAAAGGAAGGGACAGTCATTAAAATACCTGCCAGGCGCGCTGCCATTCCCTTAACTAACCTTCCTTCTTTCCCGTGAACTCAGAAATATCTTCAGCATCTATTTAAACACAGATATCCCGGGGGGAATGGGGGAGGGGGGGTGGGGGGGGGAGTTGTGGGAAGAGGGAAGGGGAAAGAAACCAACCCACATACCCCTCAGGTCCATCTCACCAACACCTTTAAACACCCTCATCCTCGGAAAAGGGGTGGGAAATAAAGTTACTTGCCTAATTTCACTCTTTGTTCTATCGAAGAGAGTTTATTGTGTAAATGGACTTATTTATTTATTCTTGAGTTTCTCTATCCCTCAGCTGGGCTCTTGGAGAAAATTTGCCTGAGATCATGTCAATAAAAAAATCACTTCTTACAGTTAAAGGGAATAATCACATCGATCAGACCCGGATAAAATAGGGGCGGGGGGCATCAAATGCCCAACACTGCTTACAGTTTGCTTTTTTCCTTTGGGTTCCAAACCGTTAGGAAAGGATCACACACATATTTATTGCTCCTTTTGTCTCCTTCTTTCTAGCAGGATTCAAACCCCTGCGCGTGTGTGCGTGGTTCGGGGGGCTGTTGCTCTCTTTGGGAAGGGTGCGGCATTCACAGGTGTGCTTTGGCTCCTCACTGTAACCCTGTACAATTTCTCAATTCTTCTGGATGGTTTAATCTAGGTGTGAGAGTAGAAAAGTGTTTAAATTCTACTGGGGAAATAAGCGGGGCCGGGGGAGGGAGGGGGAAGGGGGGAGGAATTCCCTCTTTTGGCGAGTCAGAAATAGCCCAAGCTTTCCAAACGGATGTTAAAATTGGACATAATGGAGCAACACCTCCTTTTTTTTTTTCTCCTTTCCTTTTTCTTTTTTCCCCCCCCTCTTCAGGTATGAGTCTTGAATCCTTTCATTAAACTGACACAGATTTCCAGAGATGGAGAAAAGGAGGGGTATCTGAGGTGGACATTTTATGTAAATGAGCAAATCCGAAATGTATTACAAATCCACTGTAATAAAACTGACAGTTTTGACAGTATTGACAACATAAATATATGTTGGAACACAGCACTTTCAGACACTTAACCGATGAAGCAATAAAAAGATTCGACTACAATATTTCAAATAATCGACATTGATGTTTTGATACATCATTTTTATACCTCGAATCGATCTATCACTCTATGACCGGTCAATTTTAAGTAAAAATCTGCTGCAATTATTTACGCTATTGCCAATGACGACCTAATAACTGTTTTCAATTAATTACAGCAAAACTAAGCATTATGAGGGCTAACCGGCCACATATCCCATTGTATAGCATTTCTTGTATGGAGAGCAAACACATATATGTGTATTGCATTCTCTTTGTGGGATCAAAAGAAAGACATACAAAGAAGATCACAATCTTGAGGGGGGTGGTAGTGGAAATAAAAAGCAACCTCTTTTCGGGAACACACCGCCGGCTCTCACCATGTACTTCTAGGAAACACGCTATAATATTTTGTCAGCTCTCTCTCTGTGCAATACCAAACCGGGCTCTCAGGATTTTTTTTTTTTCCTTTTCTCTTTGGGCTCTGCACTGAATCCCAATTCAAACAATGGGCCGAGCAGTACTTGGGGTAAAAAAAAAAAAAAAAAAAAAAAAAAAAGGGAAATTCGTGCTTCGAGTGATTGCCTGTGTGTTGTGAGAGTCTCCGGATCATTTCAAAAGAGGTAGGAGTATATTGTCCTCTCTGGGCCAAGAACACTCTGCTCCAGTGTAAAACTGAGAGCACTTCTCTTCTGGAGTTTTATAGGCAGCTGGAGAACAAAAGGAGATATTTTGAGTGAGCTTGTGGAGAGTTTGAAGCCTTTGCAGATTCTCTGGTATCGCACTAAAGCCATTTACTTTGCCCTAACTGTCCTTTTGGTTACCATGTTATACCGGAAAGATTAAATTTTTTTCATACTTCGGGATTCTTAGAACAATTGTAATCTAGATTTTTTACTACCCTGTGCAAACAGTATTAGTGGGAAGCCCTGACAGGTTTGTGGTTGTTTTCTTCTCTTCTTCTTTTTTTATTTTTCCCTCTGGCGTGTGATGGAAATACACGTCGACTGTTTATGGTCTCCACTTTTACAAACATTCCGCTTTCAAAAACATTCCAGCCTAAATAACATAATTAAAAAAAAAAAAAAAAAAAAAGAACTCATCTCTTCTCTGACTTTAGTGCTTCACACCACGCGAATGACATAAGCCGGACAAACGCGAAAGGCTCGAAAGGCTTCATCTCTGTGCCCCTTCCCACGGCGGGTTTCGGCCCTCAGGGGTGGAACCCGGGGCTGGGCCTCACCAGCGTCCCGCGGGAGGCGCTGGCCGGGGGCGAGGGCGCTGCGGCCGCGGAGCGAGCCCCGCGCCGGCCCCGCGGCGGCCCCGGCGGCGGCGGCGGAGAGCCGGGCCCGGCTCGGGCTGGAGCCCCGCCAGATAGCGCTAGAGGGCCGCTGATGGCGGCGCCCGCCGGGGCAGCCCGCCAGCGCCGGGATGCAGCCCCGCGTCCCGGCAGCGAGGGGAGACTGGGGCGGCAGGGGAGGGAGAGCCCGCATCGTTCTTGTTTCGTGAGGGGTTGGGGTTTTTCCCTAAAAAAAAAAAAAAAACAAACAAAAAAAAAAAACCACACAGGGCGAAGGGGTGGAAGAAAGAGCAAAAAGCGAAGTAACAGGTAAGTAAATGAACCTCCTCCTAATCCAGCTCCCAAAGATCTCAGTCATACTACAGTCGAGGTCAAGAAAAGTTCACCGTGATGGGCTACCATTGACTTTCAGGATTAGAAAGTTTTTCGACAAATAATAATAATACATTACTGAAAAGCGAAGCACACCGCTGGCAGGCGGGGGAATCAGGGTGAGGAGCTAAATGAACCCAGTGATCTGCAGAAGCTAAAATGTGCATGATTTCACAGGGGCACCCGAGATGGGACCTCGAAAGTCTTGCAGCTGCGGGAAGTCGGAGGCGAATCAAAGAGTGCTGAGACGAATAAAAAGTGACTGAAGTTGTAAAAAGCAACCCGTAAGGGCAAAAGAGAGTGTGGTAAAGATCGGGTTTGGGGGTAGGAATTTAACTGTGGCACAATCCTGAATATAAAAAGAAAAAGGTACTATTTAAACTCTATACTTCGCGTTGCAAGTAAAACAAAAAGTAAAATTCACGTGAATTTCACTACGGTGTCACAGTGATGTCCAGCGTCCATATTTGAACAGACAGATTACTTTCTTCATTAATTATGACACATTGCCCAGAATGATAGTTCGAGATAAAAAGCCTGTTCGAATATGCTAAATTTTTCACTGTGTTGCAGGATAACCCTGACCCGTCTAAGAGGAGTTTTGTTTTCAAATGCAGTCTACGTGTTACCGAACACAATGGCATCCTCCAAAATACTTGAACTCAGCACACAAACAAACAAACATTGAATAAAGTTACAAACAAGATTAAGGTTCAAGTTATTTGTCCCTGTAGCAAGGCGTCAATTGTCCTAACAGATGTAGGGACGTTAAGAGGATTTAAACCATGCGAATTTAATAAACCAGATTAGCAATAGGTGCTTTCCACAAGTGCTAAAAACCGGAAAGTAAATCTAGCCTAAATTACCCATCGGACCGGAGGATCACCTACAAGGAGAGCTCAAAATTTCCTACAGGGTACAATAGGATTTCTTGCAAGCATGGCTTTGTTTCCCTCTAAAAACTTTCTATTTGCATTAAATCTTGTGATAGGAGCACACGCGCGTGCAAAACAGCGGTTTAAGATCTCCGGTGGGATTTATTCTTGAAATCTGAAATATTACCTGTTGTGCCATCCGCTTTTGTAAGGCTGTGGAAAAAGAGAGAGAGGGAGGCGGGGAGAGATGTAACGAGCAAGCAAGAGAGGCATGCCTCAAAGCCAGCAAAGGACTAAGATGCCACACTTCGGAAAGGCTGATTGAAAACAGACTCTTCTTAACTTTTAGAGGATTTTCTCTCTCGCTCCTTCCGAGGGCTAAGAAGCCGATTTGGGAGTTTGAAGGGAATAGGTTTCAGCATCCATATTTGTTCTGGTGCACTTGTAAAATGCGATTTGAAGAGGATCTTTAGCCCTCTGATTGTCTTTGTATTGTTTTTCTTGAAACGGATCTTTTGCCCTTAATGAATCCCCACACAGCTGGACAGCTCCTGCTCGGACACTGAGAGCGCTAACCCCAAACTGACCCCAATTTGACACCACAAGATGAAATTTTACCGCCTGTTAAAACCATTTCCAGCCTCGGCAAAAGGAGCTGGCGGTTGACTGAGATGCACTTCCATACCGGACACCTCATTTCTCTTTGGACTTTTGAGCCGATCTATCAAAAAAAAAAAAAAAAAAAAAAAAAAAAAAAAAAAGAAAAAACCAGTCACCACCCCGACTCGTATCTATCTCACACTTTTCCTGAAAACAGCCCTCGCTCTGGAAGCGATTCAGGAGCAATGGAAATTACCCATTTTAATTTTCCCGAATTGCTTTTTTTAAAAAAGGAAATGTCACTAGTGGGGGGGGGGGGTGTAAATAAAAATCACCTAAGTATGTGAAAGCCCTCACTTTCTGCTCACACGTATCCCATTTTCCTCCGAGTTCCCAACAGCATCTTTGTTAATAGATGAGTACATTCACTTAAGGGCGCTAAATTGAGATCCCTTTTTAATGGCTAAACTGTAGCGCTTTATATACCACGTTCTCTGTGTGCTTTAATCCACTGGGATAGTGATGAGGAAAAAGGCTTCAAGTCTTTTCACGTGGAAAAAAAAGACACAGGAGGAACATGAAAGATCTTAATTTACTATATGAAATTTAACTTTCTATCAAGTTAGAATAATTTTTAAAAGTTGGTCTCTGTCCCAGATTACAAACATGCACAGCAGGGCAAGACAGCGCAGGGGGTTAATTACTTTAGGAGGGGGGAAAAAATTAAACAATTGAAAGGAGCAGCACTGAACACTGCACAAGTCTTTGGATGCTTTTTTTCAGCTTTGACTTTAGTCTGTTTTCTCAGGATTTCTTAGTCAGGGCAGCTGAGATCTACAGAGATTTCTGTGAAAAATAGAATTAGCAAAAAAAAAAAAGTGGTCTAAAATTATACTCTAAGCAATAAAATAATTCCTTCTATGGGAGCCAAGTAATCTAACTTTTTTTTTGAGAAGAAAACTGATTAACTTCTCTTACAGCTTGCAGTCTAAAAAAAATGCATGGAGCCTTAAATGTAGGCAGATTACTTTTGCACAGCCAGTTTATAAGGAAAGACCTCTTCTTTGGTGATACTTAAACTATTTTAAAAGAGGCACATTTGTATATCTCAAGAGACAAGGCTCTAGGTTTGCACTGCCACGGTTAAAAAATTAGTTTAGAAGCTACAAATATTTGAACCACGTCCTCTAAGCTGGCTGCAACACAAGCAAATGATTCCATGCAAGTTGAGAAATCTGGCATCTTTGGGGCACGGGGCGGGGGGGGGCAGGGAGGGGGAAGAAAGAAGGGAAAAAAAAAACCCAACCAAATAACATTCACCGATGACTAGATCTCTTAAAAAAATCTGTTAGAAAACTACAGCTGTAAAAGTAGGAAAGGATTTGCATAACCTACTGCTCTGTAGGTCTCCGCGCACCCAAAGGATTAGCCAAGCATTCATTACCATGAATATCTTGAATTACGTTACCGATTTATACGACAGAGTATAAAATACTGCACAAGAAGACTGGCTTTTTCCCTGCGAAATGAATTGACTTAACCACTGCTTGAAAGAGATCTACATACTAAGGGCTCTTCTACTCACCTCTCTTTACAGTCCCGTGAAAGTCAGTCACAGCAATTCGGTTGCTCTTAGGACTAGCTTTTATCTTGGAGGAGATCCTCTAGGAAAAAAAAACCCGTCGCTGCTCTCCGGCTTCTGGCGGGTTTTAAGCAGGGTGCAACTCTGGCTATAAGTAGGAGAGGGACTTTTCTGCGTATTCCCCTCATATTTGTAAATACAGCCCTGCTCTGCAGGGCTCGGCGCTAGCGGAACATGCAGGAATGCCCACTGGCGTTTGTCAGCTCTCCACACTATCTTTCTTTATACGTGAGGGCTGATTTCCCGCAGACATCATTGTTATGATGGCTCATTTAATCAAACTGTTTAATTGCTCCGGTAATCACTATCATCATCACAGGTACTCAATCATTCATCATTTTGGAGGGGTTTATTGACCTCTGGAGCTCATTCCCTTTGCCTATTAAAATCAGGCCAAATATCTATAACTACCCCTTGAGTCATTTTCTTAAAGTTAAAAAAAACCCCTAAACCTCTGAAAAGCATCGTCATCACCACGAAAAGCAAAGCAAAGCAAAATCTAACGGAATAATATATTTTCTGCCGTGTGTTTTCAAAAGCCATCTATGTATGAGGCCACATTCACAAACGGGTACATAATCATTGATAAATTCCACTATTAACGGGATAGTCTGTTTTAGATTTTATGTGCAGGGGACCGTGAACGAGGGTGGGGGGTTGGGGAGGACAAAACTGCAGCAATCGATAGTTTGACCATCGCTCCTCCCCTAAACTTCAAGCATCCCCCATGATTGATGATCCCGGGTAGCTTTGGTAATTGACTGCTCTGAGGTAAGGCATGGTGTAGCTTCAGCGAAGTGATTGGGCGAGAGAAACGCACCAAAATTAACGCGCGCGCTCGTGTGTGTGTGTGTGTGTGTGTGTGTGCCTGTGTGTGCCTGTGTGTTCGGAAAAGTTCATTCGGTACTCAAGGGTTGGGGGGGTGCATCATCTCACTTAATTTGCTAAATAACCCCACTGTAATTAGCACTACCATTAGAAGGCATTACCGAGCTAATACTCCAGCATACATTCCACAAGCGCAACGTCGATAAACGGTAAAGTCCAGCAACACACACACGTAAATACTGCGCTCACCGCCGGATCCGCTCGAAACGAACATGCACACAGAAATCTACATAACATCTGGATCTCTCCTACAAAAGACTGAGCATGACTTTGTTTTTAAGCCCTTTACAAAGCCTGGCAGCCTAATCGCAAAACTAAAAGGGATTTCCCCCTCTTCCCTCCGCCTCTCCCCGCCCCCCCTCCCCTTCAAGACATCCAGAGCGTGTTTGATAGCAGCGATCACTTAATGAAGAGCGGTGCCCAACACGGTTTGAACGAGGCGTTCTCTCCATGCCCTGGAAAATTAATTTTTAGGAGAGCGGGATGAGCCGTCCGAGGGCGGCCGCCCGGCGGGCAGCGCGGCGCGCCGGCGGGCCCGGGAGCGCCGTGCCGGAGCAGCGCGGCCGCCGCAGCTCCGCGCGCCCCCCCCGCGCGCTGTAGCCCGCGCTGCCCCCGGGCCCGCGCACCGCGCGCGGCGGCGGCCGGAGCCGGCGACCCGAGCGGGCGGCCCCGCGCGCCGCCAGACGCCCGACACCGCGGGCAATCGGAAGGTATTTTGTCGCTCAAATAATCTAGCGCAAACCGACCCGGGGCCGGGCTTCTACCGCACTTTTCTTCTCGCTCTCTGCAGTTTCCCCTGCCTCTCCCCCCTCTCGCACACACGCACTCTCCCTGTCCTTCCTCCCCTGCCTCCCTCCCTCGCTCCCTCCCTCGCTCCCTCCCTCCCTCCTCCCTCCCTCGCTCCCTCCCTCCCTCCCTCTCGCTCGCACGCTCGCTCGCTCCTTCCTACACGCCGTGCTTCGCTCGGGGCAGGGGCTGCTGCGCGGCTCCCCCCGCGCGGCGCCGCGGCCGCCCCGCCGCCGCGCTGCGCATCCCCGGCGCTCCGCCGGCTGGGGCGCCCCGCCGCCCCGCGCCCGCGCCTGCCGCCGCGCCCCGCCGCTCCCCGCCGCCGCCGCTCCCCGCCGCCGCTCCCCGCCGCCGCCGCCGCCGCGCTGCAGGACTGGCTATGGCCACCACTACTTCCGGGTTCCGTCACTTCATTCTCCCGCCGATCAGCGCCGCAAAACTGAGCCTCTTCTATAAGGCAGCCGGCAGCCAACCTGCCAACACTTACTGACACTCACTCATCCCAGGGAGTGAGGGAGAGAGGGAGACAAAATACCTGCCGGGAGGAAAAAAAAAAAAAAAAAGGAGAGAGGGGGAAGTCCGGGGCTTTGCAAACTATTCAATTTTTCTTCGCATCTTTCCCCACCCCCCTTCACAGTACTTTGAAAAAAAACAAAACAAAACCAAAACCAACAACCCTATAAGCGATCCTAAAAGGCAAAACCCGAGCACGGAGTTACTGGAAGAAGAAACCGGGGTTAAAAAGATTCCTCCTCTCTTCTTCATCATCATCAACCATCATTCATTCACTACCTTGACATTCCCTGGCTTTGATTGACAGCTGGAGTGGCAAAAAGCCATGAGACACGACAGTTTGGTTACATGTGGGTTGCTGACGGGCCGATCGTAACCTTCAGTTTGGGGGCTTGACAATTTTTTTTTTTTTTTTTTTTTTTTTTTGCGTAGAGAAAGAAAAAAGGAAAAACAGAGACAGAAAAAGGAAAGAGAAAGAGACAGAAAAAAAGAAGAAAACACAGAAACTCATCGTGGTTCTTGACTGTTTTTTATATATTGTTGTTATTGTTGTTGTTATTACTATTATTTACCCATATTGGAGGATAGGAGAAGTCTATAAGTGGGTTGCAAAAAAAAAAAAAAAGGAATCTTCTTCACTCTAAATCACTTTCTTTGCTGGACTGGGATATTAAATATACGACACATCCAGGAGTTTATTGGAGCGCAGACTGATGGCGCAAAGGGTAGGTTTAAATCTCCAACACTTACCTATATATAAATCCTCTCTTAAGAGGGGCCTGTCCGATTTGCTCTCCTCTGTTGCTGATGATGATGGCGGCCACTATTAAAAAATAGCAGCAAAAATTATTCGCTGGCTTTTTGTGTGTGTGCATGAGTGTCTCTCTGTGTGTGTCTCTCTGCAATTGTTCCACGCTTTTTTCCTCTCTAGCTTTTTCCCCAGCAGCGTGAATTCCCTGCTCTCTGCCTGCTCAGTAGCACGGGTTTCACAGGGGAAAGCTTGCTGCTGCTGCTGCTTGACGCCGCCGCTACTGCTGCTGCCTAGCAAAGACTAAGAAATACATATGTGTGTCTGTGTATATACGAATGTATATATATGTATACACATATAGCTGCTTCTTTTTTTTTTTTTTTTTTTTTTTTTTTTTTGTCTCTGGCTGTGACAAGGACAAGGGGAATTGCCACTAAATAATGTTTCTGGTAACTTTCAGATTATTTTCCCCTTTATCTACCCCCCCCCCTCCCGATACACCCTACCTTTCCTCTCTCCTTTCTAGTGCTGATTTATTTATCTAGTTGGTTGTGATTCTACTTGTTTATTTTTTTTTTCTTCTTCTTTTCTAATGCAGAGTAACTCTAGTTTCTCTCCTCCGTTTCCTTCCTTTTCATCCCTGTTTCCTTGTTAGGGTTTCTTCTGCCTGTGCCGAAGAGGACCATCTTCCCCCACACACGCAGACAGGCAAACACACTTTCCCCTTTTACCTCTTCTCGCACCCCCACTCCTCCTTCAGCCCCTCCAGCCCCTGCTCCCGGTCCCAGTTGACTTCATTTTGAGCATTCATCTCTCTATTGTGGCTGTTCTTGTTTTGTTTTACTCTGTGTCTGTCCGGGTGCTTTACTCTCTTCTGACTTTTGTTGTTGTTTGTTTGTTTTTTTTTTATTCCCCCCTCTCTTCTCCTCTTGCTTTTTCTTTCTTCTCTTCCGGCCCGCTTTTTGACAGTACGATGAGCTGCCCCACTACGGCGGGATGGACGGAGTAGGGGTGCCGGCGTCCATGTACGGGGACCCCCACGCCCCCCGGCCGATCCCCCCGGTGCACCACCTCAACCATGGGCCGCCGCTCCACGCCGGACAGCACTACGGCGCCCACGCCCCGCACCCCAATGTCATGCCGGCCAGCATGGGCTCCGCTGTCAACGACGCTCTGAAGCGGGACAAGGATGCGATCTACGGGTAGGTGTCGCCGGGCCGCCCGGCGCCAGGGCCCGGCTCCGCAGCGCTGGTGCCCGCGGAGCGGCCGGGGCAGGAGCGGGAGCGGGGCGGGCAGCGGGGGCTCCCGCGGGGCCGCGGCGGCAGCGGCCAGCCGGGCCCCAGAGCGGAGTGGGGAGGGCGAGCCCGGAGAGTCCGCGGGGAAGACGGCGGCAGGGCAGCCCCCAGCAGCCCGCTCAGGAGGGAGACCCGCGCGGTGGCACTGCCGTGGCCGGCGATCTCGGGACGAGGGCGAGCCTGACTCGGCTGAGGTGCCAGCACCCACGGGAAATGGGTGCTGGAAAACAGACCTCTTGGGAAGAGAGGCTGGGTCGGAGAGAGGTAGTGTTGCCTTGTCCTTCCATTTTTCTTTTTTTATTTATTCGAGTTTTTTTCGCTTTTGTGGTTTTTGGGTTTTTGGGTTTTTTTGTTTGTTTTTTTTTTTTTGGGGGGGGGGGGAGTGTTCTTTTCTTACCCGTGGGCTTTTGGGGGTTTTTTTTGTTTGTTTCTTGGCAAGGCCTCACGTAGGAGTTAGAGACTCTCATTGCTCTGGATTTTAGTTGGAGAAGTGTTGTTCTGGTGTTCTCCTCTATGCCATAATACCACTCTTCCAACTTCGTAAATAAAGAGCTATTCACATCGCGGAAGGTAGTAAGGATAAAAGGGATTCACTTCTTGCAAACAGCTCTTCCCAGAGACAGAAGACATAAATACACTGGGGCAATGAGCTGAATTTTATGTTTAAGAAAGAAAGAACATGAGGAAAAAGAAATTCTTTTTCCAGCAAAACTCAAGCCTGCACCAGGGCTTTGATTGGAGGGAATGACACCGATTCCCTTCAATGCCTTTTGGAAAAAATACTAACTGATCCTATAAGGAGAGCTAGTAACATCTATGACAAAGTGTGGGGCCTTGATCAGACACCAAAGGGGAAAAGAAACAAATGCATGCTTACTACTTAGCACGCAGATATTTTTTTTTTTTTCTGACTACACCAACTATGGGAAAATATTTCGCGAAGTGCTCCCTTCCTCCACCCCCTCCCAGCTCACTTATCTGGACAGATGGTATTTTACTTGGGTGTGCTTCCTAAGCCAGGAAACTTCACCACATTTTTGTTAGCAGGCCCCTTGAAAAATAAAATTACGTATTAAGTAGTTTGCAGTTTGCCTAGCTGTACTCTCGTTTTAGGTCATAGCTGGAGGGTAGGGATGGGATCTTCCAGGTTTTGCGGTATTTTAAGCTGTGGCAAAAGTGCAACATTCTCAGTCGAGCTGCTGCTGAGCACGTTCGGTGCCTTGTGCTTTTAGAGAGGTTACTTTTGTCCTCGTCGGTGAGGACTGCACGGGGAATGTGATTCGGGCATTGAAATTTTAAAATTAAAAGAAACCCCAAACAACCAAAACAACATCATCCAGCTCACCACCAAAACCAGTATTTTTATTTCAAAGTCTGGTTCTCCACTGCTCTGCCCCGGGCATTAGTGCGAAACTATAGAGTGTGGCTGTGTCCGTGTGTCCGTGTGTGTGTCCGTGCATTAAAAAAAAAAAAACAAAACTTGTTGATTATAGCTCTTCTTTCCCCCTCTCCCCCACCCCCTCCCTTCTCTTTGTGTGCCACCGCCCGGTAGGCACCCGTTGTTCCCCCTCTTAGCTCTGGTCTTTGAGAAGTGCGAGCTGGCGACCTGCACGCCCCGGGAGCCCGGCGTGGCCGGCGGGGACGTCTGCTCCTCCGACTCCTTCAACGAGGACATCGCCGTCTTCGCTAAACAGGTCCGGCACCTCTCCCCCCGCCCCCGGCCCTCGCCAGCGCTCCCGCCGCCTCCTCAGCGCCTCGACCCACACGGCCGGGCGCTGGCAGGGGCAGCCTCCCTTTCCCCCCGGCGCCCCTCTCCGGCGGGGCGGGGGTGCGCCCTGGTGGCCCGGCTGGCCCTGACCTCCACCCCCCTGCCGGCAGCCCCTCCACGCTGCCGGGCTGGGACTCCCGGGCCTTGCCCTCCTGCGTTAGTGACAGGGAAAGGTAGCTGTGGCCGAGTTCTGGAGGCAGAGGGAGCGGGAGGGGAAGCAG